TGTATATATTTCAAATGAAATTTTAAAAAGCAATGTTTATAAGTTTATCAATTTTTGCTACTTTTTGTTTGACGGAGTTAGCCACTCTGGCTAATGCTTCTGAGCTCAAATATATCCACCGTGCTTCGGACGTTTCACACTATAAAGTTCCTCCTTTAATCCATGGATTCACTAATGTTTTCAAAACACTAAGCTTAGTAATTATGTCATTAGACAACGTAGATTGAACAGTGTTATCAAATTCACGATTCTGCAGTAATTTGTCTTTTACGAAGAACGGTTTTTCTATAATTGAAGTAATAATTGAAATACCATAATTTTTGCCATTCGTATTAATTTGTTTACTATTTATTAGCACGAACTGTTCGTAATATGTGTTTTCTTTTTTACTAGAAAATGTTTCTGTTATTTCCTTTGCCAATGCTTGAAACTTTGCACTTGAAATTCTGAAACATAAAATATTTATATTGAAAAATAATTTTTATTTCCTCTCTCTCTCTCTCTCTCTTTTATTACATATTACATATAGAAATTCAATTAATAAAATTTGACTTACTCTACAGTACGGAGTTTCTGTTGTGGAGGAACTTTCAGCAAGATATTATCTAATTCTTTTCGAATTATAAGTCGTAATAATCGATTACGAGCATTCGGGGTTAAAAATCCGTGTTTTTGGATAGTCAAAATAGACCAACCTTCCTTCTCTTTAATTAGAAATTCAATTATACAGTTTCTAGACGAATAAAACTTATGATTTAGATGAAATAAAAAGTATAAATCGAAACTACAATGTAACAATTATTTTGGAGATAACAAACTGTTTTATTAATAATTCTGATTCTATGTTGAGTATCCAGTTGCTGTTGTGAATAATTTCAGTTATTGACGGTACAACTTGATAAATCTTCAGCCGAAATCTAGAATTAATAATTTGTGCGAATATATAAATACATATTAATAAAGGTTTAAGTATAACATAAAAAGAAATACTTCAGTTTGAGCAATGTTAATAAGTTTTCTTCTAATTACAAAAATAATAATGGGTATTGAACTGATGCTACTAGCGATTGTTGGCAATTATATTGAATTTGTGATGACAACTGTGTAGAAAATAAAGACTCTCTAGATTCTGTGTTCTGAGGAGTTTGAAGTAGCGTTAAATCCTGTTTCTGACACTCTTTTTCAGATGCGTAGGAAAATAAATAAAGGAAAGTTATTTTTGTTTTGCATAATCTTTAAAAATAAAGCCCATTTTCGCATTAAAATAAAGAATTATATTACAATAAGGAGAAATTAAAATACCGTATCGCCATAAATTAGCGACGTAATACAACCGACATCGCGCAAAAGAATTATTTTTGTAAGGATTTGTGTGCTGAAAATACTGCAAAAGGATGGATTGAGCACAACTTGGAAAAAAATATGTCGGAAAAAGATGGATATACTATCATTAACAATATTAATAAATAATAATATTTCGCGTGTCAAACATTCACCACATGCTCAGAAAGAAACCGCTTGTATAATTTATCTTGTTTACTCTTCGTTGAATATTCCGACGTGTATAAATGCTCGACGCGAGTCAACGAATGGTAAAAATAACCCTGCAACGAAGAGCACCAAAAAAATGGGCCTCGTTGCGGCGAG